ATCTCTCTTAGCGTCCATGGATTCATCTTCAGACTTGACACAGCCTCTGTCTGGGGTCTGTTTGACAGTCCCCACAGCCTCCTCCATTTGCACTACAGGACTTGGCTGCTGGGGAAACCACAGGGTTAGGAGCTGCAAAGTGAGGACCAGTGAAAACTGGGGAGTAGGAGAGGGAAGGGATAGGGCCAGGGAACAAACAGGTGGAAATGAAGGGGAAACTGGTCAAGTGTTCCTGCTAAACACTGGCTAGGGAGACAGCTGCATGAAGGCAGGGGCCTGCTCAAAGCACTGCACTCACCGACATTGAAGCTGCCACTTTCTGCTGTTGCTGCTGATCAATCTTGAATAGCTGCACCTTAGCTCTCTTAAGGAGGCTAAACATTTTTTCCTCCACCCCAGACAGCGGCAGCGGACCTGGACTTGCACCAGGGGCCTTTTCCAGTGGTGGTGTCTGCTGCGGTGATGGAGGTGGCTGCAGCTGTACCTGTGGCTGTACTTGCGGTTGCTGTGGTGGTAGTGCCTGGGGTAGGAGCTGTGTCTGCAAGGCCTGTGGGGGCTGCTGGAGCTGAGTCTGAAGCTGCTGCCCATTGCTCAGAGCTGGAGCCCCATTGTGGGGCACCTCGACCTTAACAGGAGTGGTGACCACAGGGACAAATCGAGGCAAGCTGAGGTGGTTGGTCCGCCCCACTGCCCGAGGCTCAGGCTCAGCTGGAGAGTCATCAGCAGGAGGCAGCTCTGGCTCAGGGGCTTCAAGAGCCCCAGGAGGAGGAGTAAGCACCGATTCATAGATCTTCAGGTGGGCTTCACTTGGGGTAAACTGGGGGGCCCGAAGGAGTAGGGGCCTCCGGGAAGGAGTGGCAGGGGTGGGTGGTGGAGATGGTGCTGGTGGTGATGAGGCTGGTGGAGGAGCAGGGGGAGGTGGCGGCAGCTCCCGGGTTAATGAAGTCCAGCGAAACGTGGGCTCTCTTAGGATAGACCGTCTCTTCTCAGGGAGTGGGACTGGAGTAGATGGGGGAGTTGGGACACGAGGTGGAGAGGGGACTGGTACTGGCTCCTGGGGAGCAAGTGGGGAGGTCGCAACAGGAGGTCGAGCAATAGAAACCTCCATCTTTGGAGGCTTGGGAGGGTCTTCATCCATAAATCGCCGGGGTGTCTTGATAACACGGGAGGAACGGGCACTCACCACAGGCATAATAAACTGCCGTATATTCTTCAAGAAGGTGGTACTTTTGGGGGCCACAGTAGGACTGTCTTCCGGAGGGCTTCCTGTGGTGGTGCTGGGGTTTGGAGTGGGAGAAAAGATGCCCTCTGGTACTGACCGAGCAGCTTCCCGCTCTGCCCGTTGGCTAGGAGTCAGGGGAGGCCGGCCCCTCTTCCTAGAGCATGTAGCTGGCACCACAAGAGGAGGAGACTCTTCTTGTTTTTCTGAGGCTGGGTGTGGGGAAGGGGATGGTGGGGGAGGAGGAGAAACTGGGGGTGGTAGAGGGGATGTTGGAGGTGGAGATACTGATGGGGGTGGGAGAGGAGGTGGTGGTGAAGGGACTGGAGGAGTCAAGGGTGGTGATGGCAGCTTTGCCTCTTCCTTCTCCTTGACTAGCATCACTTCTTCCTCAGTCACAGCTGTCTCAGTCTCCTCTTCTTTGATCTCAGTGTTGTCTTCCTTTTCTTCCTTCTCCTCTCCCTCCTCCTCCAGTTTCTGCTCTGGTTTCTTCCAACAAGAGTCCCCTTCCTGTTCATCTTCATCTCTTCTTTGGGGGGTATCCTGCCAGCTTTCTCCATGTTGACTACGACCCTGACCTGATTCTAGTCCCTGGGACAACTGTCCAATCTTCACTTTTTTAGCCTTTGAAACAAACTTGATCATAAGGGGAAGTCCGCCTCGGCCTCTGCCCCTGCCTCCACGGCCTCCTCTCCCAGGCTGTCCTCCACGTTTGGGGGTTCCAGGTCCTGGACCAGGTCCCTCCTTGCACTTCCAGCTGCCAGTTCTGTTCTTTACTGGAACCACAGGAGGTGGAGGCTCAGGTTTAGGGATTGTCACAGCCGCCTCTGCTATCACTACTGCTTGCTGCTTTTTCCGACAGGGGCCTGCTGGCCGTCCTGGGGGTCGACCCCGAGACCGACGGGGAGTAGAGGGCTCACATGCCCGGCTCCGGGGGGCTTGGGGTGCCTGGGCCCGCCGGAGAAGCTCAGTCAGTGCCTGCACCATTCGTTCGGTGCCCTCCTCACCCCGTTTCCGAGAAGAGGTCTTTGGGGGACCAGGAGCCACATCTGCTAGGCGAGGAGGAGGAAGGGGGGTCGTCTTATGCTTTCGGCCCCGACCCCGAGGGGCTCGACCTAAAAGGAAAACAGTTATGGCGAGTTGGGTCAAGCTGGCCCGGAGGACTTGATAAAAACACCCCAGAAGGGCAAGGTATTAAGTTTTACTTGTCTGTTCCTCCAAAGCCCCAGCTAGCTTGGACTCTGAACACAGGAAACTGAGGAACTGGTGGAAACTAGGTGACGGCCAGAGAGCTGACACAAAGGGCAAGACCATCCCCATCAGACTAAAGAGGTAGAGCTTCCCCATCACTCACCTCGCTGGGACCGGAGCGCAGAGCGCAGGGAACTGGGGGCCACATCTTCATCTGAATGAAAACCCTGAAATTCCTGATTTAGGGGACCAGGGGTGAGGGGAGAAACAGCAGTCAGTGCCAAAGCCCTGGTTCCACCTGGGTTTCAGGTGCTGAGGATATAATACTTAGCTTCCACCTTAATGTACTCCCGCTTATTTACCAAAAAAACTTAACAGACTGAGGCCAGGTCAGAGGAAATGAAGGCACAAAGCAGTTTTGAACCAGACCATACCAGCACAGCCTTCAGTGGGGCACTGGCCCAGAACACTAGAGGGTCTCTCTCCTCAAGAGAAGCAGTAGGCATTACACTGAGGGCTAATTCCAACTTAATACGAAGCAAGTCCTTCATCTACACCCATGCAGGGCATTCCTAAATGGGAATGCTGTGGGGGGGGGGGGGGAGGTGGAGCAGGTGGTTTATCACATTAGAAGCCACTCGGAGCCCTCAGAGGACTACTAGCTCTCCTAAGCAATATAATCCACACATCCACACACTCCTCCTTCTCCAAAAGGCTCAGAGGGCCAAATCACCAGCTGCACTCACCCCAGACTCAAGACTCAGCTCTCATTCTAGCCCTCTTCAACCTGTACTCAAAGAATCCTCCACCACTCTATCTTAGAACCAAAGAGCAACAGGGACACTGGGAAACCAGGGATATGTCGCGGCTTGTGAGGCCCAAGAAGGCAGCCTGCAGGTGAGAGCCCATGAGGCTCTAGTCCTGGTCCATTAAGGCCACGCTGCTGCTGTCAACCACCACTGGTCGAGCATGCAATCCCTGTGGCCCCTTCACCCACTCCTCTTCTGCTCTGCCATTGCTACCGCGAAAGATCAGCTCAGGACACCAGCAGGGCTTGCCTGGAGCCCAGGAGTCTCGCTGCAATCAGGTTTTCCCTGACCACTTTCAGAGGCCCTAACCGCCCGAAAGCTCCACGCAGCCTGCCTCCTTCCATGGTTATTTCCAAGCTCCCCGAGAACCCCACTTGTCCACAACACCCTTCGAAGCTATCCGGAGCCCTGCAAGCCCCTGGCCTCCGCCCCACCCGGCGCAAGAGACGCCTCCGACCGCCTCACCTCCTCCTCGGATTCCCCGTCACTGCTCTCCTCCTCCGGCATGCAGCCACGGTTCGGGCCCCAGCCCCGGCCCCGGCCGCGACCCCGGCCCCGCTGAACGCGCGGACCAGCCCACAGACGGCGGAGCCGGCGCAGGCCCCGGCGGAGCCCCAGCAAACGGAGCAGGGCCGTGTCCTCCCCGGGCTCGGCTCCTCCCGGCCCCGCCGAGCCGCCGCCGCGCCGCAGGGTTACCCGCACTCTTTCGGCTCCGCTGCCTCGGCCGCCGCGGCCCCCACCCCCGCCGGAACCCCGCGGCCGGCCCGGGAAGCGGCCCCGTGCGGAGCCAGGCCCGGGGCAACTGCCGCCGCCCGCCGCTGCCGCCATCTTGGCACCGTGAGAGGGGCCGGGGAGGCGGGGGGAGGGGCGGCCCGTGCGCAGGGCCGGGGGGAGGGGAGAAGGGGAGGGGCGAAGCGGGGCGGCTGCGGCTCACGACAACAACCAGCGCCGCTGCGGGGCGGGCGCAGGAGCCGGGGGGGCTGGGCTGGCCACGCGCGGGGCACCACGGGAGCAGGAGTCCGGGTTGGTCGGCCGTCACGCTCAGGCCACACCTGGAAAACGAACCCCGCGTCGCGGCCTGAGAGCGGGAGGCGCAAAGACATCTGGGAAATGTAGTCCAGACGGCCTTGCTTCTTCCGCCGACAGCTAGGGCGCGAGGACTGGGACTACGGGGTCAGCGACGGAGAGCCGGAGAGCCAGTTCCTGGTCTCGAGGAGGTGTGGTCCCCGGTTCAGACTCCTCCCATTGTTCTAGTCGGAACTAGCGGCCTGCACGGACTACCATTCCCAGGGTACCGCGGGCGTCGGACCCTGGGAACCCGACCGACACCGGCAAACGAAGTTCGCTTATGCGCTAGGCGTGGGCTGAGGGAAGGGCGGTGGCGTTCACTTCTAAGCGCAGTCCCGTAGTCGCATTGCACGGAGCGGAGGGGAGATGCTCGAGAGGCTGGTCCTCCGTCCCTTGCTCTCAGGGAGAGCAGACGGGTACCTAAAACCACGACCTGAGCCTGCGCTCCTCTCCAGTCTGGAGTACGCGCGCGGTGCATTGCTGTGGAAGGGACCAGAGCCTTGGAGCCCTCACAGCCACCCTCCTCGTCCCGGCGTGCTGCCCTCGGGAATTATACGGAGTCCCCGGAAATGAAATGCCCGACTCTCTGTTTAGTGTGTGAATGCCCAGCAGGGGCCGCTACAGGACATGGGACAAGGGTTGGACACACCACCACCCACACACCCCGGCGCAGACGGAAAATTCTGGACTCATCCTGACTGGAGAGCACAGAAAACTCTTTATTATAGTGATGAAATTGATAGTCCCCAGTTAGTCTTCATTCCAACCAACTAAAATATGTCTTTAACTCGGACTCTCCAGTCGGCCGAGACTTCTGCAACCCACGCGCATCCAGAGAGGGTTCTTGGTTCCTGTCCCGCAGCACTTCTGCGGGACAAATTAGCCAGGTGGCAATAGAGACAGGGCTCGCCTTTCATTCTTTGGTTGGACACTTATCAAGCCAGAGAAGCTACCAATACCCGGTCAGGTGCCAGAGGAGGAGGTAGGACTCCCGGGAGAGATTGAGGTCCGACTCGGCCTCGAGGAAGAGTAGAGGAAGGTGGAGCGTATGGTCCATCCAGGCGGCAGCTGGCTGGGCGAGTGGCCACGCATGTGCGCCTGCATGGAAGCCAGGCTGGGGCAGCCAACCCTGCACAGAGGGCAGCGATAGGGAGCAGCCCCATGTGTCCTCAGGTGCTTGGTCATGGCAGAGAAATCCCGGCAGCGCTGAGGACAGAGGCTACAGGAGAAGGGCTTCTCTCCTACAGGTGGAGAAAGCCAGAGAAGAAAGAAATGGGCGAAGGTTGGCCAAGCTAGGGGAAAGTCAAGCAATGGGGCAAGGGAGGAGCTGGCAGACCAGCGATGGGAGCAAAAAAAAGAAAAAGAAAAAGAAAAAAGACAAATGCACACAGTCCATACCTGTGTGGACTCGGTAATGCGTCTCCATCTGATGCTTGAGTGAAAACCTTTTTCCACAGACAGAGCAAGAATAGGGCCGAGAGCGAGCCGGAAGGGGTAAATGAGGGTGCTGGTGAGACGGGCAGCGCGGTGTGCGTTCTTGACCCACACAGGTTGCCAGTGGGCCTGTGTGGACAGAGAAGTCAAAGTGGCATGACCAGGATCCCTGAGGCTGAATCCATCCATCCAGGCAAGCTGAGCGCTTGGGAGGGGCAGAGGCAGCAGTTCTAGTACCCTGCTTACCTGTGTACCCTTGCCCAGACTCTTCTATCTCCCAAGGGCTGAGTTGTTCAGGGCCCTGGGGAAAGGATCCTGCAAGTAGAGTGTAGTAGGGACGCTGCTAAGGCTGGACTCCAGGAGCCCAGCGGCTCTCCGGAAGCCCTGGATGGAACAGGAAGGGGCTTACCTGGAGTGGGGCTGGAGGAGGGCTGCCAATTCTGACTCCAAAGACCTTTGGAGTGGTTCAAGGTCAGTGGGATCCTGGATGGAGAAGAATGATAGCCTTGGCAAAGCCTGAGAACCTAACCAGCTCTGGCCTCTCTCGGGACCAGAATACTTTGTTGTCTCCTTAACTCAGGAAATGCAGAGATGTGGTGCCTTCCCACGCATTACTGCTGCCTCTCCTGAGCTACTCCCTCCCAGCCTAGATCTTCCACTAAGCCCTCCTTCACTCACCTCTGGTCTTGAGGCCAGACCTGCCAGGCTGCAGTGATGGGGGTGCTAAGGGAGAAGGGAACGCCATATCTGGGCGGCCACAGGAAGATGCTCCACAGGGCAGGTTGGCCCTGCCCCAACCAAGGGGCCTCAGCCCAACAGGGCCTGGGAATGAGGCTGGTTAGGAGGGAACCTGGTGAGGAAAGGGGACCAGAGCACCCACGAAGACACTCCTCAGAGCCCTCAGGGCTCTCTAAACCTCGCATGGCCTCTCCTTGCTTCCTCTCTGCTCCCCCAGAGCCCACCGAGGCAGGACTGAGGGCCTCCTCTGAACTCCTCTTCCTAGTTACCGCTGCCATCTCCAGGCTCTCTTCGGGGGCTTTGTGCTTGTGTACGGTCTCCTGTCCTCCCTCATGACTTCCAAAATCCTTCTCTGGTGTTTGTTTCTCTTCAGGGCCCCCCAGTCCTCTCTCAGAACTCCTCATGAGTTCTTCTGAATTATGGTGCCTTTTCCGTCCTGGATCCAGCTTGTCTTCATTCTTATGCTTTTGAGCTTGCTTGCATGCCTCTTCCAGGGCCTGCACCCCCAAGGCTCTGGCTGCCTCTTCCAGGTTCCCCAGCTCCCCAGGCTGTAGCTCTACACTCTCTCCATAAACAAAGGTCAGAAGCTGAGCAAAGGTAGATGGGCTGATGCCTTCAACCAGAGCCCACCGGCCCCTGCAACCCAGCCTTGGGCTTGCTCCTGCCAGCACCAGACTGTGAGCAGGGAACTCCAGGCCCCCTACAGTGATCAGGGTGTCACACAGTGCTGGCCGAAGCCTCGCGGCTAACTGCACCAACCTATCAGAGCCATAGGGGCTAGTTATTCTTGTGGGGGTCTGGGACATCGCTCCTGGCTAATCTACCAGTTTCAGAGGCTCTAAAAGAAAAGTCACAATGTGGGGTCCATGGCCGAAAAGGAAGGGAGAAATCGCATACTCAGGCCTGTGGAAGGGAAGGGAGAAAGAGTGAGTGACTCTCTGGTTTCAGATTGGGCTGTCTATCCTGTATGAGTCAGATAAACTAAGTCAAGGGCAAGCTGTGGGAATGCAGCAGCAGGAGAAGCCACTCTGGGGCCTAGGGAGCAAGAGCCAGGCAGTTAGCAGAAGTATCAAGTAGTGAATTTAGGACTGATTTAGTTAGCAACTCAGTTTAAAGACTTTTGCTTCCCTGGGCTCTTTTTCAGGGGAAACCCTCTGAGCAGTCTCACTTCACATGAAACCTGGCAATTCTGAATGGAGTAAGGTGTAAGTTCATGGAGGAACTCAAAAAGCTTGTGGGTCCTCCCCCACTGTAAGCCCAGAAAGCCTGGGAAGGCAGCAGACAGGTTACACCTCAGGAGAGCATCCTAGGGCATCCCTCTCCGAGGCTGAAGCTTTTAGAACACATCCTCAGAGAAGGGATTAGGAAGACCAGAGATTCCCATCCAGTGAGCTGAGGGAGCCACAAGTTTAGAGAAGGCTTTGTGCCTGTGGACGTGAGAGAGAAAAGGGAAACTGGAGAATGGGAAGTTCTTTCCTCTCAAAATGAGGCTAAGGAATGGCTTGATTTCTGTTTTTCATAAGCCAAAAAAATGAAGATCAGAAAGAGCCCAACAAGCCAGGAGTTTAAATGCATACAAAACCATCACACCGGCCTCCCAGAATGTTGGAGGTGGACATTGAGAAATAGCCCAAGTGTCTTAGCACCTAGCAGGCCTAGCCCTCTCTGTATGCAGGCCCTCCATGAGAAAGGAGCCTGTAGGAGGGAGGGGTTATACATGGACACCTTGGGGTGAGGGATGCAAGCTGGCAGGGAGTAGACAGAAATGGTGGAAAGGCTCAGCTGGGGAGAGACAGTCACTCACCTCTGTAGCTGCCTCCTGGCACCGCATGCTCTCTACTGCTCTTGGGGCTCCTGCCCCCCACCTCCAGCTAGCTCCACCCCGTCCTCAGTCATCCCAAGTATCAGTCTGCCACAGTCCCCCAAAGGGGTGTGGCCTTATACCTCTGTCTCTGCTGGAGACCCACAAGAGACTACCTTCTACTTGTAACAACCAGACAGTTCCTCACCCTAACTCTTACTTGTGGGTTCCTTATAGTCAAAGACGTGAGCCTCTGGTGACAGGCATTTTGGAATAGTTAGAGGCTGAGCCTCATCTCTGCCATTTACTAGTTGAGTCACCTCGGGCAAGTCATCTGTCTGAGCCTCTGTCACCTCACGCATCTCCTCTCAGTGTGTCCTTCGGAGGTGGAGGCGCGATGAAGAGCCATGCATAAGGAAGTGCTCTGCGAGTGCAGGCCAGCGTTCAGCTGCTGTTAGTTCTGTGTCTTAGAGGTGACCGTTGCATGGAGTAGCTGGAGACCATTTCTGACACCTCAGAAGAATAAGGACAGAAGTGGAATTTGAAGCTCTTCTTATTCTGTAAGGCTGACCCTTGTCCTCTGGACCCCAGCAAGGACCTGGTCTGTGTGACTCAGATCCTCCCAGCAGACTCTGAGGGGGTAACCCCAGGAAGCCTGTGGTGGTCTTCGAGTAGAGAAATCTTTCCTGGGCTGATGACAAATGACATTTCTCTGAAATCAAAACCAGGGGCTTCTTTCACTTTCTGCTCGAAGGGTCAAGGTCCCTGGAGATTTCCACCTCTTCGCAATTTTAGCCTCTCTCTCTCCCTCTCTCTTCCTCTTCCTGTGTAGTTCAAGATGTCCTTGAAATCTCTGTCCTGCCTCAGCCAGGCAGTGCCACCACAGCCACCACACCCAGCTTTGGCACTCTTAAATTTGAGGAAGGGATAAAGCCTTGGAGACTTTATCTTTTTCTTGCTTTTCTTTTTTTCCCCCATTCTATCAATCTGAACCTAAGCTGATCTTCTTATTCACTTCTTTCCGGATATCTGTGTGTGGTATGTCATACAGATGTGATAACTAACTGGGAGAGAAACTAGCCAGATGTTGACAGACTGCTTTAGTGACAAGAATCAGTCTGAGTCCCCATACGTTTCTCCCTAGATTCCAGCCCCCTCCTAGACCCAATAAGGTAAGGTTTGCTTTTCTCCCTTTGGCCCCAGCCCAGGGTATTCAGAACAGCCTTCTACCACTCTCTCCCTCCAGGTCTAGGATGCTCTCCCTCCCATTCTAGCTTGGATGCAGGCAGGTGTCAGCCCCTCCTAGATCAGCCAGGGTGTGTCGGTGGGTGAGGCTGGTGAAGGGGCAGTAGGGTGGAGATAGGGGAAGATGAGTCAGAGCGAAAGGGAAAATGCAAATGGCAACCTTGTGTTCATCTGCTCCCCGAATGTTAAATATTTTCCATTTCTGAGCTTTCTAATTCCTAACCTCACACACTTGGGAACACATTAGATATTCCTATGTAAAAGACACCCAGAATGTCAATCCCTCTGATAGGCCTGCAAACACACAAACCTTCTCCAATACGAAAACACACAGTCTCTAAAAACAAGAAGTGGTACAAAGCCACAGTGGTAGAGGGACAATGTACTGGGGTCTGGCGACAGCCTCTTCACCCACAGGAGGAAGCCCCTCCCCTCCCCCCGCCAGTGACTCAGCTGCCCCACTAGTATGCATTACCCACTGATGACCAAGAAATGGGGGCTGCTCAAAGTATCTCTGTAAGCAAAGATAGTTGACGGGCAGTGACAGTGGGCTTTCAGGGCACCGAAAGGGAGAAAAGAGCAAGGGGATGCCCCACTGAGTAAACGAAAGCCCCCTAAGAATAGGAAACCCCATCTTGCCTCCCACATGGTGTCTACCCATGGTAAGGCTATCCCCTTAGAGAGCCCTTAGAAGTATTCTCAGGGCCCTTTGAACCCGAACCCTTATGCTAGTGACACTTGAGGTCCTTCCCTAGCCTCTTTCTACAGCCATGGAAGGGCAATCCAAGTCATTGGGCATTAAACAATGACAACAGAAACAGATCCTACAGCGGGCACTTTGACTTGCAAGGGTAGGGATACACTGTTAGATCACAGACTCTCTGGCTGCCTTAGCCCCACCCCCTGTTGCACTCCACCTCTCTGGGACTCAGTTAAGAAGCCCTGCTGTTCTGTGGCCTTGCAGCCCCTCGCCTTGCAATTGCAATATAAGGCTATCCAATCTGGATCCTTGTAATGCCAGGAGTCACACAGATCTCGCTCGACTAAATCACATGGTATAAAACTTCTGCTACTTCATAAAAACCTATACAAGTCAGAAAAATCCTCTGGGATCAGATGGCTTTTCAAGACTTCTGCTCATGCTGTACATGGAGACTGTCTCTCCTAATGAAGTACTTCTCTAGGAAATTTTTGTTTGTTTGAGTCAGGGTTCCTCTGTGTAGCCCTGGGTGTCCTGGAACACTCTGTAGACCAGGCTGGCCTCGAACTCACAGAGATCCACCTGCCTCTGCCTCCTGAGTGCTGGAATTAAAGGTGTGTGCCACCACCACCAAGCTCTAAGGGACAATTTCAAGTTTGATCCTTTCCCAAACTAAGCTACCTGCTGCATCTGGCTTCCGATTTATCACCCGACTTATTGTTCTTGGAATGTCTCCCTTCTCTGAGAAAAGTGGCTCTTGCTGGTAATCCTAGTACTCAGGAGGCTGAGGTAGGAGGATCAGGAGTTTGAAGTCAGCCTGAGCAACATGAGACACTGAATGAAACAACAACAACAAAAATGTCCCCATTTTCTGCTTCCCAGGCTCACGCAGAGAGAATCATCTGCTACCTTCACCCTGGAATAGACAGAGTCAAGAAACCTCAGGTCAGGAGGACACAGCCTGTGACAGGCAGAGGCTAACGCGGATAGATTTGAACATGTGATCGGAAGAGAAATACGTGGGGAAGGGAGGCATAATTGTCTCACTGTTTTGTTAATTTGATTTTGTTGTTTGAGATAAGGTCTATTGCCCAGGCTGACCTGGAACTCATTCTATAACCCAGGTTGACCTCATGGAAATCTTCCTGCCTTAGCCTCCCAAGTGCTGGGTTCTAAGAATGAGCTGGTCCCACTGGGTTAGGAAGCGACAACTGTGCCCCTGAGGTGGAGCGGCCGCCATGGCCAAGTACCTGGCCAAGATCATTGTGATGGATGTGCAGGTGATGGGCAGAGCCTTTGCCCGGGCCCTGAGTTTGCAGCAAGCCAGGCAGCTGCTGATGCTCGGGGTTGTGCTGGGCACCAGTCTGCAGCCACATCCAACCTCTCTGGCCTCAGCCTCCAAGAGGCCCAGCAGATTCTCGACATCTCCAGGCTGAACCCTGAGCTGGGCCAGAAGAATTATCAACACCCATTTAAAGTGAACGACAAATCTGTGGGTGGCTCCTACCTGCAGTCAAAGTTTGTCCGTGCAAAAGAACGCCTAGATGAGGAACTCCAAATACAAGCCCAAGAAGACAGAGAGAAAGGGCAGATGCCCAAAACGTGACTGCTGGGCATGCCCCACAACACCATTGCCTCATAATTTATAGCGCGGTGATGGATGTCTTTTCCGTGTTAAAAAAAAAAAAAAGAATGAGTTATTATACCCAGCTTTCTCTGTTCTCTTTAATACCATATTACTGAATCAAACTTGAAGGATGACATTTTTATTCCTAGTAGTAGAACTGGCCAATGACAGTAAAGGGAACACGTGTGAGGTGCTCAGTGCACTCAGCCTGGATCCCAAACCAAAGCTTCTGTAAACCACTGTATTGTAATGCAAACCCAGCTCAATGTAATGTGTCATCAAAGCCATACAAATATTGATTCTGTTTAAATATTACAATTAAATTTAGACTATCACAATATGCCAGGAGTGGTTGTTTTGTGGAAAATGTTCTTTTTGTCCTCCCTCACCCCCCTTTGTTTGGAGACAGACTCTCACTGTGTAGCCCAGACTG